GGGATTGATCACTCTAGGCAATAGCACCTCAGAGGCAGGTACCCTGCTGATCAAACAAGCAAAGAACTCCCCACCCTTGTAACATTAGCCACAACTTAATCTAGCCAACATCTAAATTAATTTTTAAAATCTAGATGTAGGAAAGATAACTCACAAAGTTTCTATTCTGAGTAGGAAATTCTTGATATACCCCCAGAGGGATGACTTAAATGTAGCAGACATGGAAGATGACACCAAGTAAGGAAGTAGGGAAATCCTGGCTCTGATTATGCTGACACACAACTACTGCTCAGGTGGGCTTAGAATGAGCAAGGATGAGGTTTGATTCTCTAATATCCACATGCAGGCTAGGTATTTACCCATCTTCCCTTTGAGAGTACTTTCCACCAACATCCAGTTCATTTTAAAGTGCAAATCTACTGAAAAATAGCTTACTCTCCCCCACCCCCTGGTTAAATTTGGTAGATCATAATTTGGTTGGCTGGTTCCCTTCTAACCTGCCCAATATGGGAAATTAACTAGAATCCAGTTATGACTTCTCCAAGTGTCAAGTGAAAATTTATCTTAAGTTAGAAAAAGGTAAGACTCAGTCTAGTTTTTCAGTTTTCTTTCTTTGAAGTCAATGGTTGATAAAAAGGCAGGAATAGAGATATAGATGAGGGATTTCTAAAAGTTCAGTGATTTTTAAAAAAAATACCTTTAATTTTTTTATTGCACTTACTTTATAGTTAAAAACACTCATGCTAAAATGAAGATTAAGGAATATGGTCAAGTTAGCTATGTCAGAAGCACCAACTCTGCTACACTGAATCTTGTTTTATATTTAATTATTTACAGGCACGTTAAGCAGCCCAAATAAAGAAAATGTGTGCCAAAGAAATTAATTTCTGGTAAAGGGTAACTTTCAGTTTAGCAGTTATTTCTTCCTCCTTTACCAATACTTAACAATGTAAGGTCTTTGTGAGCAGACAATCAGACTGCAGTTAGAGAGACAATCAGACTACTCATGATTGACGCTTTGACACTTCCCCCCCAATTTTTTAAAGTTAATGATTTAATCCAACCTCTCTAGGCCCTATACTTTTTTCCATTTAGTCCTAAGAAAAATCCAGCTGGAAGATTCTGGGCCACATAGATAACCACCTTCGACTCTACTTACACATCACCAACTCTGAGAATAAGTTAACAGTTAAGATTCATTTCGTACTCCTCTTTATTCCACTTCAGACCACTGGTAAGAGGTATCAGAAGAAGCATCTATTCAAGTCAAAATTTCTTTCTATACAGGAACCACATTTATGTGTCTTATACCACCTCTATTTGTGGAATAGATCCAGTAACCATACCAAGTTACTGGCCAGTTATCATGACCAGATAGTCTTCGGTCCACATGCAGAATCAGTGTCTACACCAGCTACTTTCATATATGATTACCAAATTTTATACAATATTTTTCTGTATTTAAGGACTGCTACAGTCTACAAAATTTGTGCATTATTGGACAATGAATGAATACTTAAAGAATGAACACCTAAGAAGGATGATCCATTTTCTAAAGTACACTTAAAATGTTAAACTTTAGAGACAAAGCAAAATCTATCATAAAGTTGGATTTTGTTGATAGTAGGAGAGAGGTAGGTTAATAATTACTGTCCTAAGGTAAGAATGCTAAACAATAAAAGCTGAGGCCCTGCTAAAAAACAAGTTGAACCTTCCAGCCCTGAGTTTCTAATGTTATGTGAAAATTATTAAAATAAGCATGACAAAGGAAAACACCAGTGACCATTTCCTTCCATCCACGATTATTAAATACATCACCTTCTCTCAAATAACAACTCAGGTAGCACATGACTACAGAGTGAAAATAAATGGACCTTGGAAAAAGGAATGTTGCTACAAAGCACTGGTTCTTAACCGGGGGCGAATATGTTCCCACCCTTCTGCCCCAGAGGATAGATGGCAATGTCTGAAGACACTTCTGATTGTCACAACTTGGGAGAGGGTTCTACTGGTATCTAATGTGTAAAGCCAGAGATGCTGCTAAACATCCTATATTACAAAGGACAGCCCCCCTCCCCACAACATTATCCAGCCTAAAATATTAATAGTGCCAAGGTTGAGAAACTCTGGTTTAAAGGAACAAACGCCTATTTACAGAGAACACAAAAACCTTTCAAGACCTGACTAGGTAATACAGCCATAAACTTAATGTTAGGGAAAATAGGAAAGCTGAATTACTTGGTAGACGAAAATAAAATTTCCTGTGAAAAATTAAAATACTGTACTGATTCCATCATTATAAGAACAGAAGAAATCGAATGATCCACTAAAATGGCATAATGCTTTAAACAAGGAGCACAGAGACAATCTCTTCCAAGTAGGTCAAATATCTAATCCGAGAAGCATAAACCAAAAGCATTTAACATCAGCTAAATCTGCAGCAGTAAACGATGATTTAAGGAATGATTTGAGAGAATATTCTGAACTTCTTCATATACCTTATCTTCCATTTTCTAATAACATGGATTCTGGCTTTAATTCCAAGAAAAGGAGGCACAGAAGTCATTCGATATTTGTTGAGTGGAACTGAATTATGAATTTTGTGTGAAATGGACACAGAAAAGCACCTTACACTTCTCTGAGAACTACCAGTGATTAAAAGACATTAAGAAACAAGGAGAAACAGAGAAAATTAGTTTCTATATTAAGAATTCAGAAAAACCAAACACCAACACTGTAAGTTATTTTATAAATAAATTCAGTATGAAGTCATTCATTCATTCCCTACTATATTCACTTCCAGCATAACTTTTAGAAAATACATCCATACCTAGCAATAGGGCTTTAAGCTTACCTACTAGATGAAGTGCAGAGTACAAGAAAAGAAGATCGTCTTCTTAGTTTAAACATCACCAAGGAAAATTCTCATTGCCTATGGTTCACAAAAGAAATAGTCAAAGGCTTTGAAAGTATAAGCCAGTCAGAGTAAAGATTTCTTCCTATCAGACTGTAAGGAAGAGCAAAAGGAAGTTAAAAATAGTATTGGACCTTTATTTAGAATTGATTGTCAAAGCAGTGGTCCCTTTTGATCAGAGTGACTCAGAGAAATCATGTAATTCCTACTTAAATGACAGCTGAAAACTTCAGAAAGCCAGGACTACTTATGCAATCACTTTTTAAAAATGACTCTTCCCTCTTTGACTAGTTTTACACAAGTAAATGGGGAAATAGGAGCCAATAGTTTCTGGTTGAGGGACTTTAGGCACAATATGGCAGAGGGCCTCTGACATCTTTTTTGCAATCTATCAGTTACTCAGTCACAGCCTACTATGGACTTCATCTGGTTACTGACTACCGTATCTTGCATTTTCCAAAAACAACTTTTTCTTATATGAAAAATTCCAAGCTCTCTATCCAACTGTTGCTTTGCAATTCTGAGGTTAAATCACCTGCTATGCTTCACGGAAGAAGCAATCCTCAAAAATAATGCCGTTTGCCTGGGATTCCATAATGAAACATCTCTTTTCCATCCACAAACATATACATAATTCATTTTAAGAGCTGTTTAACTTAAACTTTTTGAAAAAATATATTTTGAAATACTAAATTTCACTTATTGAAAGGTACCAAATCCAGTCTTTCAAGTTCTACACCCTTACAACAATCACTTCTCTCAACATGAGGGTCAACAGACCAAAGTTATTAGGGCAAATTTTAAAAAATATGAATGGCCAACATTTAGGCTAGGAATTCAAATATAACTACTGCTTATATATATTTACTTATCTAACATATTGGGTTGGCCAAAAAGTTCCTTTGGTTTTTAAGTAAAAATAAAAGACACATTTTTCATTTTAATCAAGAACTTTATTGAACAGCGTATTCATCCTTTTGTTCCACTACCTTCTGCCATTTTTCAGGGAACTTCATAATTCCATCTTCCTAAAACTTTTTATCTTTTTGAGCAAAGAACTGTTCCAGGTGCCTTTTACAGTCTTCCAGGGAATTGAAATTTTTTCCATTGAGAGAATTTTGGAAAGACCGAAATAAATGGAAATCTGAAGGTGCAATGTCTGGTGAATACAGTGGATGAATCAGAATTTCCCAGCCAAGCTATAACAGTTTTTGCCTGGTCATCAAAGAAACATGCAGTCTTGTGTTATCCTGATGGAGGATTATGTGTTTTCTGTTGACTAATTCTGGACACTTTTCGACGAGTGCTGCTTTCAGTTGGTCTAACTGGGAGCAGTACTGTTGGAATTAATCGTTTGGTTTTCCAGAAGGAGCTCATAATAGAGGACTCCCTTCCAATCCCACCATATACAGAACATCACCTTCTTTGGATGAAGACTGGCCTTTGGTGTGGTTGGTGGTGGTTCATTTCACTTGCCCCACCATCTCTTCCGTTCCATATTATTGTACAGTATCCACTTGTCATTGCCCGCCACAATTTGTTTTAAAAACGGAACGTTTTTGTTACGTTTAAGTAGAGAATTGCATGCAGAAATACAGTCTAGAAGGTTTTTTTCGCTTAATTTATGTGGAACCCAAACATCAAAGCGATTCACATAACCAAGCTGGAGCAAATGATTTTCAGCTCTTGATTTGGATATTTTGAGTATGTCGGCTATCTCCCACGTGGTATAACGTTGATTGTTCTCAATTAATGTCTTGGTTTGATCGCTATCAACTTCAACTGATCTACCTGTGGAGCATCTTCCAGCGAGAAATCTCCAGCACGAAACTTCACAAACCACTTTTGACACGTTCTATCAGCCACAGCACCATCTCCATAGGCTGCAGAAATCTTTTTTTGCTTTTCAGTTGTGTTTTTACCTTTCTTGAAATAATAAAGCATAATATGCCAAAACTGTTGCTTTTTTTCTTCCATCTTCAATATTAAAATGGCTACACAAAAATTCACCAATTTTGATAAGTTTTTTTTCTTAATGCATGCTGATATGACAGCTGTCACAATACAATCTAACAAAATTGTTTCAAATGAAGTTAAAGACAACTAAGTGCTACTAGAGCCATCTTACGGGAAAAAACCGAACAAACCTTTTGGCCAACCCAATATAAGGAACTATAACCAAAAAGTATGCCTAAGATCAGGTCCATATGTGTAATAAGGCCAAAGTATTGGTCAAAGGAGTGATTATAACAGTCATTTTAACCACTGACCTGGGTCACGGAATGACTGGCTGACTGTTTGCAGGACTTGAGTGGACATGCAGGTAAACACAACATAAATTCCAGTTGACAATGCACACACTTTTGGAACAACAAATAAGTAAATATAACATGGGCTATAAGGCCTCCAAGGTACTAATTTTTCCTTTTTTCACCATAGTTTTTCAAACTGGACTTTGGAGTCTTGATTCTAGGACTGCTGCTATATTTCTAAGAGGAGCTCTTCCCAAACCAAAGGCATGACACATTTGTGCTTCTGAGTCATAAAGAGATGGACCTTCAAGAAAGATGGCCTACAGATTCAAAAGTTAAGTGTATATATTTAAATGCCTGGCCTAAAAAAAAAAACAAACAAAAATGAAAAAACTGAACAAACTGAATAAAGAATCACATTTGTTCCTTTGTTGTTAAAAATGACTGGTCTATAAAGGTTTCAGTAGATGGGGCCACACAGTACATAACTGGGACTGAAGAAGACAAAAATTGAAAATTTATAGCTTCTAAAAAGAGCACTAGAATATATAAAGTTGGTGTTATCATTTGGGGGGAGAAACACTGAATAGGTTATGAGAAAAAAAGGAATGAAAGATTCGTTTTATCTTAAGAACCATTTGCCCCACACAGAATCTTTAAAATAGACAACCATACAAAACTTATCTATTGTTCTCATGACATTTAAATAAGTTACACAAAGTGGAATATGTGGTGTTAGTTATCTTCTTCCTCATTCTCTTTAATTACTGGGGTACCTAAAATGAAAAAGAAAATTATTACTGGTCATTCTCAAGAGATTGTTAAATTCTAACTGAAAATATTTTTCTGTTAACCTGAGGAGTTCTGAGATGCTGAGAAGTGTGCCATAATAAAAATAATATCATAAGATAATCTTTTAAATTTCTAATTATCCAAAAAGCCTCTCAGGAGAATTCCCAAATGGATTAATATAAGTAATTACAAATATTCAGGTCCCCAAATACAGAGTTACAAATAAAAATGCCTACAGGTACCAGGCAGAAAAATAAGGCCCTATGCACACTAAAAACTTTGTATGTTAAACACAAAGAAATATTCATTTTTCACAATAAAATACGCAATCCCAGTATTGCCAGAATCTGAATTTTTATGTTACTCCCCCAAATACTAAACATTGGGGATAAATTGGAAAAAAATAAAAAGAACCAAGGCACAGAAAATAAAATACATCTGCAGGCTCTCACTGGCCCAAGAGCCAGCCATTTCTGAGCTCTGGCATTTGAAGCATGTCCACAATCTGACCCTAGTCAACTGTTCAGTCTTAACTCTTCAGCCAGTCACCCTCCACTCCAGATGAACTGATCAACTCATTGTCTCCCAAACTCATCTTGCAGACTACTACTTCTGGACTCCTGGCTAACAAAGTTCCTCCATTTTGGAATGCCCCCCGTAACACCCCTTCCATCTAGGCCCTACCCTTAATTAAGAGCCATCTCCAGTGCCTCTTCCTGTGTGATTCTTCTTTATGGCAACGAGCAGAGTCTTACCCCTCTGTACTCCCCACAGCATCTGTTTGTGGGGGGTAGTGAATGTTTTATTGAAATATACATACAAAGTACACAAATTATAAGTGTACAGATTGATAAATGTATACAAAGTGAACACATCTGGTAACCAGCACCCAGATTAGAAAGAGAACATTATCAGAACCCCCAAAACTTCCTCAGGTCCCCTTCCAGTCACTGTCCCCCAACAAAAGGTATATTCTATCCTAATGTCTAACACCATGGATTATTTTGCCTGATTTTGAAACTGATATGAATAGAATGATGTAGTATGCGCTCTGTGTCTGGCTTCTTTTGCTCAACATTATGTTTATATGATTCATGTATATTGTGGGAAGCTATAGTTCATTCATTCTCATTGCTGTTGAATATTCCATTGTACGAATATGTCATAATTTACTTATCTATTCTATTGTTGTTGGGCATTTGGGTTGTTTCCAATTTATAGCTATTAAAATAGTGGTGCAATGAGTATTGTCATACAGGTCTTTTGGTAAACATCCATGCTCTTTTCTTCTGGGTATACAGCTAGGAGAGAAGTTGCTGGGTCATGTGGGATATGTATGTAGAGCTTCTGTAGATAATGCCAGTTTTCCAAAGTTATACCAAGTTACATTACTATCCAGCAGGGTATGAGAGTTCTAGTTGCTCCATGTTCCACTAACATTTGGTATTGTCTGTCTTTTTCATTTTAGCTCTTTAACACCCCTCAGTTTTTCTTACAAGCAACTGAAGAGGAGCAAAAAGAGGCAAGCTAGCAGCTGTGGCCACCTGTGTTCTGGTCCATCTCACTGGTTTAGGATAGACCAGCTGGTTTTTCTAGGGGCTGTTCAGATTGGCCTGAAGTCAATATTTGATCCAAAAGGCTGTATATAATGTGGCTTGGTCTATTCAGGGTCTACATAAGGGATTCTTTTCCATTCTTAATGGAAGGGTTCACTTCCTGTGCACAATGAGAAAGGAAGACAAATGATTTCAAATGGTTTCTAGACGTCAAAGTTGAACATAAAAAGGCTGAAGTCCAAGGCTCTAATGTACCCTCTCTTTTGTTCTATTTTATTTTAACTTATGAAATATTCATTCATATAGATACAATATAAATAAAGAGTAACAAAACCAATTATTGTATACCCATCACCCAATTTAGGAAACAGAACATCACCAGTATCTAAGAAACCTGTTTGCCTCTTCCTGTTTATTCCTGTACCTCCCACAAGAGGCAGTCTAGTGTCTTTGTTATTTTATAGCTAGGTATGTAGCCAGAGGGAAAAAAGGGAACATTCTGCATGATTCCATTTATATAAAACTCTATAAAATACAAACTAATCTATAGGGACAGAAAGCGGATCAGTGACTGCCTTGGGAGGGATGGTGGTGAGCAGCAGGAGGGAGGGATTACAAAGAGGCAAAAGGAAATTTTTGGGGGGTGATATATATGTTCATTATCTTTTCCCCCCAACTTTATTGAGATATGATTGATATATAACATTCTGTAGGTTTAAGGTAAAAATGGCCTGGCTTCCTCATAAGACCACTGGAAGGAGTAAAGACCCAGGGAGGTCTGTGACTCTTTTATTATTTCTGGTTTTCAGATGACAAAAGAACAAAGTTTGGTGAGATGAATTAACCAGCCCGATGACAAAAAAGCTAGAACTGGGACTTGAACCCAGTCAGTCAGGGATCTCTCCTGACATTTTCACCTTTCTTAGGTATTGAGAAACTAAAATTAGGGGGGAGAGGGAGAGAGAACATTACAATTTTGATCCAATTGTGAAAAAGCAACTCCTTACTAGTTATGTCTAATTATTTTGCAAAATAATACATTTGGGACTTGAGAATAAACCCAGCTTTCTTATAAGCTTTTGGTTTAGGGATGATCTTTTTTTTATTTTTTATTTTTCCGTACACGGGCCTCTCACTGCTGTGGCCTCTCCCGTCGTGGAGCAACAGGCTCCGGATGCGCAGGCTCAGCGGCCATGGCTCACGGGCCCAGCCGCTCCGCGGCATGTGGGATCTTCCCGGACCGGGGCACGAACCCGTGTCCCCTGCATCGCCAGGCGGACTCTCAACCACTGTGCCACCAGGGAAGCCCTAGGGATGATCTTATACCAGTCTAAATATTCTAGAAGTCTTTCATCTCACTCTGGCCCAAACTGGGACCACAAAATTTCCTACAGACAGAAGTGGCCTTGGCGACCAGAGATAACCTATCATTTTCTTTAGTTTTGCTCCTTTTCATGATTCCGTGCTACAAATTCAATTCTTACACCCAGAAAACATTCCCAAGCTGGCCCAGAGTCACTCACCATCTAGCTTTTTCAGTTTGGGTACTCTCTTGGTTGCCTCGTCAATCCAGTTCCCTTCAGCAGAATGTTTCTCTTCCAAGGGATTGCCTACAAACACCAGGTCTTCTAGGCATGGTAGTTCTGCCAGCTTCACAAATTCACCTACAAGTACAAAGAATACATTCCATATTAAAATGGCAAGTTTTACTCTTATGATTTTGAAGGGTGAATCCCAGTATCACTAGCCCTCAGTCTGTGACTATTCAGAACAATTCGTTGTTTAAGATTTTGAAGGAAGTAGGGGACATTATACCGTATGAAGTCATTCTCTGAAGACATTATGGAAAGGGAGGGAAAGCGAGACGTACCTCTTCTACCTTTATGCTAATCTAAGGATGGGATAAGAAGAGGAAATGAGGTTCAGAATCAACAAATCAATCTCCAGTGACAGGTCTTCTCTATACTGTACTACATCAGTATCAGCTAAACTAAACTGCCTTTGTCTCTACCATTCCCTCATCTCTAAATTCTTAAAGCAACTCATTCAAGCCTCTATTGTAGAGCTTATCACACAGTTTTCTAATTATTAACTCATAAACTAATCTTTCCCACTAAGCTGTGAACTCCTTGAGGGCAGGGATAATGTCCTATTCAACTATGTATCTCAACAGCCTGGCATAGTTCATGGCGCACAGTAGGGCTTTAAAATGCTAAATGGATAATGTACAATAAAAAAGAAAAGCAATATATATGTTAAATAAGTCTTCCACCCAAGAATTATTAAACCGATTCCTTTTGGCCTTTGGACAATAGTTTAATTTTTTTCATGATTAATAGGACCAGGACCTATTCAATTATAATCATTCTAAGTAAATATTTAAATGTAAATTTCAAGTGTTTAGATGAAATATAGGAACTCCTATAGCTATTTCCCTCTGTGCTTAGAAAGAAATGTCCCCATTTCGTATCTTGTTCCCGATAGGGCTATTTTCTATAAACATGAGGTAGAAGGTTAGCAAAGAGCCAGCCTCACTTACCCCAGTCTTTCACCAGGTTATTAGACATGTAAAGAATCTTCAATTTCTTCATTACATGGATCCCTTTCAACTTCTCAATAAAATTGTAGGAGATCCACAGTTCTTCTAACGTGTCCCCTACTGCTTCCTGAAAAAGAAAGCAATTTTATTCACATACTTATTTTTAAGCTTTTCCTTCTGTCCCCTTCCTCATAAACATAAAGACAATGGCCTTCAGAGAGAACTGAGACCAACCTGTCCACTGGCAGGAGAGCTGAAGGCTGTGTGGGAGTTTTTTCTCATTAAGAAAGCCAAGTAGAACATTTTCTTCCTCTCTTCAAATTGATCTGAACTAAGAATACCTACTGAAACCACCAAGAGGGGAAATAAGAGCACTATTTTTTTTTTTTTTTTTGCGCTACGCGGGCCTCTCACTGTTGTGGCCTCTCCCGTTGCAGAGCACAGGCTCCAGACGTGCAGGCTCAGTGGCCATGGCTCACGGGCCCAGCTGCTCCGCGGCATGTGGGATCCTCCCGGACCGGGGCACGAACCCGTGTCCCCTGCATCGGCAGGCGGACTCTCAACCACTGCGCCACCAGGGAAGCCCTATTTTATCAATTTTATTGAATAATATACTTTTCAAATCACTTCCCTATACATTGTATTATTTGATCCTTATTTAATTAAGATAGGCAAAGCAGGTTATTTGATTTCTATTCTAGATAAAGGGCTTTTTCTAAGATCACAATGCTTTTTTTGGCTGCACCACGCAGCTTGCAGGATGGGATAGAGCCCAAGCCCACGGCAGTGAAAGCACGCAGTCCTAATCACTGGACCACCAAGGAATTCCCAACAATGTTATTAAATAGTAGACCTATGTCTAAATTTCAGGGTTTTTAAAAAATATTTATTATGAAAACTTTCAAACATAAAAAAGTTGAAAGAATATTATAGTAAATACCCATATATCTACTACCCAGCTTCTACCATTAACATTTTACTATCCTTTTCCTGTCACATATCTGGTCCATCTATCCATCCTGCTATCTATGCATCAATTCACCTTATTTTTTCTGATGTATAAAACTCAACTTAAAACCCATAGTCTTTTCATTATACTATAATGATTATGTCATACTGACTCTTTTTTTTTTTTTTTTTTCATACTGACTCTTAAATGCTAGATACAATCAATAGTGGCACAAAAACTTTTCCTTCTTTCATATACAAAAGACAAAATGTAGTGATTATTTGTTCCTTAAAAAACAAAAAAGTGACTAGGCAGAATCAGTTCGATGTTCAATCCCCTCTTAACCCAAAAGGATTTACCTACATCCACATGGTAATGTTAGAATGTAGGACCCAGGTCTATGTCCTGATAACTGTCCCTTTAAAGACTATAAAGAGAATAAATGTACTCTGGATAAAGATCATTAATGCATTTTCCATACAGATGGAACCAAGGGGAAAAGCTGAGAATGGAGTGGTCTGAGTTAGTTCTGTGTGTCATCCCAAGGCCCACAATTCATCTTAGTTTCAACTTTCTAAGTAGGAGAAACAACAATTTCAAAGTAAAAGAAACTTTTAAATCAGTCCATCCTGGCACTGAAAGTGTGAGGCAGCAGAAAAAATAGTGACTAAATAATACTAATTAGAAAGTTTAGGCTCAATTCTGGGTTCTGCCACTTACTTAGTGTCGTTTTACATGTGCAGATGAGGACTCTTGGTCAGTTTTCACATAGCCAATTTGATCAATTCTCCAAACAGCCAATTTGCTGAATTTACTCTTTTACTGATTTACTGAAAAATTGGTTAACTACTTACAAATTATAGCAATTTGTTTTAGATAGGATAGGACAGATATTACTTTAGACAGGATAACTTCTGAAGATGTCTGTTGTGCTTTGTTCATTCCTTACAAGCATTAATTGAGTTTCAGTTTAGTTTTCAGCCAATTGGATGCAGCTGTTCTGCCATGACCAAATTTCTGTGCATTTGGGGACTTTACTTGGGAATATAAATTCTCATGGCAGAATGAGAATTTCTTATGTATATTGACTAACAAATGTTGTATAGATTTTGGGTGTCCAGGGCATAGTTTTGTCTTTCAGTACGTTTTCAATCTATTCCACTGTTTTTCCTACTTCCCTAAATATAACAATTCACTAACCAACTCAATTAGATTACTATTTTTATGTGTTTTAATCATTTGAGAAGTGATCAGTGTCTAAAATATGAAACTGACAGTCTACAAAGATGGACTGACAAATCTAACAGCTGGGATAAAACAGCTGCACTAAAATTAATACTAAATAAAATCTTAAAGAAAAGTTTAAAAGGTGTTGAAACCATTCCAAGCAACACAGTTTTCTATATATTTGTAAGTAGGTAATAAAGACAAAATTTTGGTGAAGCAATCTGGTGAATGTTAATCAATAAAAACTGGCTAAGTCTGTGTGACTCAATTCAGTGAAATCTGTCATTCAATAAACTAGCCCTTTGGAGAACTGTACATTGAATGAACAGGCATTTAGCAAACTGGTCTGCTTCTGCATGTGAATAAATCACTTCTCTCTTAGTTTCTAACTCTGTAAAATAAGGGGGCTGGCACAATGAGCTAGCACCTCACACCTATTAGGATGACTACTGTCAAATAAACAGAAAATACCAAGTATTGGCAAGGATATGGAGAAATCGGAGCCCTTGTGCACTGTTGGTGTGAATGTAGAATGGTGCAGATGCTATGGAAAACGTTTTGGCAGTTCATCCAAAAATTAAATACATATGAATCAGCAATCCCACTACTGGGCATATATCCAAAATAATTGAAAGTAGGGTTTCAAAGAGATATTTGGATACCCATGTTCATAGCAGCATAATTTACAACAGCCAAAAGGAAGAAACAACCCAAGTGTTTGTTGATGGATGAATGGATAAACAAAATATGGTCTATTCATACAACAGAATATTATTCATCCTTAAAAAGGAAAGAAATTCTGATATATGCTACAACATGGATGAACCTTGAGGACATTATGCTAAGTGAACTAAGCCAGTCACAAAAAGACAAATACTGTATGATTCTACTTATATGAGATATCTAGAGTAGTCGAATTCATAGAGACAGAAAGTAGAATGGTGGTTGCCAGAGCTGGTGGGAGGAGACAATGGGAAGTTACTGTTTAATAGGTATAGAGGTTCGGTTTTCTAAAATGAAAAGAAATCAATTCTCTCCACGTCAATCTATAGATTCAATGCAACTCTACTATGACTTCCAATGAGATTTTATTTTTTACAGACTTGATAGACTGATTTTCAAGTTTCTCTTGAAGAATAAATGTCCAAGAAAAGCCACAAATATTTTGAACAAAGAGAGAGGACCTGTCTCAATAGATATCAAAACATATTATAAAGTGAAAGAAAAGTAAAGCAACATGATATTGGAGCTGAAATATATAGGTAAAACAACAAACAGAAAGAAACTTGAGGGACTTCCCTGGTGGTCCAGTGGGTAAGACTCCATGCTCCCAATGCAGGGGGCCCAGGTTCAATCCCTGGTCAGGGAACTAGATCCCACATGCCGCAACTAAGATCTGCATGCTGAAACTAAGAAGTCTGCATGTCACAACTAAAGATCCTGCACAGCCTAAATAAATAAATAAATATTTTAAATAAATAAGTAAAATAAATAAAAAGCACTTGCCAAAAGGATTAGCCTTAAAAAAAAAAAAGAGGGCTTCTCTGGTGGCGCAGTGGTTGAGGGTCCGCCTGCCGATGCAGGGGACACAGGTTCGTGCCCTGGTCCGGGAGGATCCCACATGCCGCGGAGCGGCTAGGCCCATGAGCCATGGCCGCTGAGCCTGCGCGTCCGGAGCCTGTGCTCCACAACGGGAGAGGCCACAACAGTGAGAGGCCCGCGTACCGCAAAAAAAAAACTTGACCATCCAGGAACCTACCCATGCATATACAAGAGTTTAGTATGTGGCATTTCCAAACAGTAGGAAAAGGAGACTTTTCAACATATGGCTAACCATTTGGAGGAAAAAAAATAAGGTCTGATATCTGTCACATGCAATTTGCAAAAATAAACTCCAGATGGTTTAAAGGTATAAACTTTTTAAATTTATACTTAAAAAACAATAGAAGTACTAAAAGAAAATATAAGATGATTTTTTCATAATCTAGAAGTGAAGACCTTCTATATAAGATACAAAACACAGTTGTTATAAAGATTTGACAAATAAAAATTTTAAAACTCCATACGGCAACTATGAATAAAGAAAAAAGACAAGTGACAAACTAAGAGAAAATGTATTAAATAATTCTGAAAACTTTGCATTAAATTGCAGTATGGAATTTGTAATCAGATTACCTAGATTTGACTAAGTCCTCTACCTTTTCCTCTTCCCTCCTGCCCTTTTTCTCTCCTTCATCATCTTTTCTTTTGTCTGTTTAGCTATTCATTTGTAGATGGACATTTGCGTTGCTTCCATCTTTTGACTACAGTGCATAATGCTGCTATGAATATAAGTGCACAAATATTTTGTTTGTATTTTGAGGGGGGATCATTAGTTGTTTTTTTTTTTAATTTAAAGAGTAACATACATAATCATCACCTAAATAAAAATATAAAATATTTTAAAAAAAAGAGTAACACACAAGATAACAACATAACAAAAATCAAATAGTGCAAACAAGTATAATGAAAAGTCTCTTTCTCACCCACGCCCGTTCCCTTCCCCAGGGGTAACAGCTATCATCAGAAATATTCTGTGCATATATGTACATAGAAATATCCACTTTGCTTCTTTTCATTTAATAATATACTTTGCAGGGCTTCCCTGGTGGCACAGTGGTTGAGAGTCCGCCTGCCGATGCAGGGGACACGGGTTCGTGCCCCGGTCCGGGAGGATCCCACGTGCCGTGGAGCGGCTGGGCCCGTGAGCCATGGCTGCTGAGCCTGCGCGTCCGGAGCCTGCGCTCCTCAACGGGAGAGGCCACAACTGTGAGAGGCCCGCGTACCACACACACACACAAAAAATAATAATAATAATATACTTTGCAAATTATTCTATTTCAGCACATATAGGTAAGTCCTACCTCATTTTCCCCTTTGATATATTTTGTTTAGCTAGTCTACTACTGATAGGCACTTAGATTGTTGCAGTCTTTTATACAAGCTATATTTCAATGAATGTACTTGGTCCACCATCTTTGTTCATGTATGTTAGTATGAAAAACTCTTCGATATAGAATAGTTGGGACAAAGTAAATACACATTGAAGACACTGATAGCTATTGACAGACTGCTCATCTCAGCAATAGGGTTTAACAGCGCCTGTTCACTATACCTGGGCATTTTACATAACTATCTGAGCCTCAGTTTCTTTATCTTAAAATGAGGACTGAGGATTTTTTATCTTAAAATGAGGATATTATCTACTTGTTGTGAGTTTCAAATGAGATAATGCATGTAAAGAGTCTGCTACACAGTTCATAAATGTAACAACAATAATAGTAATAACATTATCAATACCGGATAAATATTAGGAATATTGAGGAGTGCCTAGAATTTAATAAGAAAAAGATAAAAGTAGAAAATGGGTAAAAAATGTTAGGTCAATTTCCAAAAGAGGAAACATGCATAACCAATAAGTATATAAAAAGATGTTCAAAGTCATAACTAACTAAAGAATACAGATTAAAACAATGTAATACTCCTTTTTTGCCTATCATATTGGCAAATATTAAAAATACGGATAATACTCAGGGATGTTGAGGGTGGAGGGAGTAATCCTCACCCTTATACCATTGATGGAAGTGGAAACTGGCATAAGCATTGTGGGAGCAATCTGAGGTACTTGTCAAAAATTTAAATGCACAAAAATAACCTCAGCTTTTCTACTTTTAGGAATCTAGCCCATGTAAAGATTCAAATAACTGCTAAAGGATATATGTAAAAAGATGTTCACTACAGCATGATTTGTAATAGCAAAAAAAAGAGAGACAGACAGACAGACACCCCTTCTTCAATAAAATATCTGGAAACACTCTAAATGTTCAGCAATATATGAATAGTTAAATACATTGCCATATACTGATAACGTAGAAAACAACAGCTATTGAAAAGAATGCATTAAATCTGCCTGTTTTTACATGGAAGGATATTCCTGATATATTATTGAATGAAAAAGCAGGAAAAATATGCCCAGTATATTATCAGTACAAATATATATTACACACGCACTCACATGCATGCACAAACACACACACAGATATCTGTTTATTTGTGCACAGAAAAAAATTTAAAGTATACCAATATTATTTCTGTTACCTCATGGACTTGAGGAGGTAGGGAGAGGAAAGACTTTCACAGTGTATTTCATACATTTATGAATTGCTTGATTTGTTTTTTAAATACAATTACATCTATTACTTTTAGAATTAAAATTTTAACCTAATAGTTTTTCTAATTAGTAATATTACAAAGCATTATTAAGTCACAATAAATATTTATAGAGTGCCTACTATATGTATAAAGCACCAGTGTAGATGGTAATGAACAGAACTGACGTGCTTATCAGAATTTGTGTGTGTGTGACACACAGAGAAAGAGACAGAGACAGAGGGAGAGACAGAGAGAGGGAAAGAAAACAAACAAATAAGAAAAATGGAAAAAAATTATAGGTGATAAGAGTTATTGCCTAGAAGACTGCTTTAGATATAGGATAGTTGGGTCTCTTTTGAGGAAGTGACATCTGAACTGAAGTGTGAAAGTTAAGGAGCCAGTAATGTGGAAATCCAGGGTAACAGAGTTTTTTAAGGCAGAGAAAACAGCAAGTACAAATGTCCTCAGGCGGGAATGAACCTGGCATGTTCAAGAAAGAGAAAGAAGGCCAGTGGCTGGAGATTACCAACTAGGAAGAAGAGTAATATGAAATGATATCCGAAAGGAAAGCAGAGGCCAGCCAATCACATATAAGAGCAGGCTTATAATGTACCTTAATAGTCAGTTTTCCTAAGTAGTTTTAAATAGACTCCTTTTCTTCAATTTAACATTCCATGTTTCACATATTAGAGTAGTTATTTGTAACATACTGAGGCAGCTATTCAAATCATGCTATGAGGCTGATGTGTCTAAATGAATAACTCAGCATGTGACCCTATTTGAAGTCCACCATCTGTATCCTTATCAGACATATTTTTCTTTAGTCTTTGCGTAAGTAGTAAAGCTTTTGGACTGGTTAAATGTTTTTGGTGTGTGTATACACACACACACACACACACACACACATACACACACATACACACATCCTGGGGAAAAAACCAACTGCTGGGGGTTATTGATAGCAGTCTACAGAAAGTAAAGAGATCTAAGTAAGTGATGGTTCAGCTAGATAATATCTCCATACATGTCTTTAATCCTATATTTACAATTTCTTTGTGGTTTCTAGGTATATATTACATTTCATGGGAGAAATTATACACCATATCAATAGTTGAGAATCTGGTGCTCTGTAAATACCTGGGGGAACATCAAGCATTTATCATATTGGCCCTAAAAATTTAGGGGTATATTTATTTGCAAACTCTTCCTTTACAGATAATTCAAAGTAATGTTTAGCATGAAGCATAATAAATTCTAAATTTTTGTACTATAATATTTTATCCATTATGAATAATGTCCCTATATATGACATTTTTACCATCTAAGGCTCACAGAATGAAGAGAAGGCAAAATGTCGTTACATTTACCAATCATTTAGAACATCAAAAAAAATTTTTTTTATAGATCATTAGGATTTTATTCATCACATCTAGCTAGAAAGCAAATAATTCATCTACTGGTTATTGTTTTGGGGGAGAAAACTCCCTTTATTTAACTACAGAATGTAATCTCTAAGAATTTCCAAGCATTTCATAAATTTATGTCAGTAAGTAGACATGTAGATGTGGGAATATTATCAGATAATTCAAGATAATTCCAAAATTGCACCTCTGAACACTGACTCCTATTCACGTGTTTTGGCTGTTTCTGTAATGGGTGGGGGAGGGGAATGGTCATTTTAGCCTGTCTGGTCTTGGGAGGTTATTGTTGGGAAGCACTGCAGTTTCAGCCTCACTGACTCTTATGAAGAACGGCTAGAATTAACGGGCTTGGGAGGGGGACAGGAAACCCAAGTTACAAAGTATTTCAGGGTTTTTATGATAACAATCAGCACTTTAAAAAAAATTATTATCTTTTGGGGAATGCACACAAGAAAAAGAAATTTGTTTCATCTTTTCTGAAATTGCCTAGTTTTACAATATTGTTTCATCTCAACTTAGCAAGGAAATTCAAATGGCCAATACATATACAAATAAAATACACTGTCAAAAACTTTTAAAAATTTAAAAATGCCCAAGGTTGGTAAAGGGAAACGAAAATCCTCATACATTATTGATGAATTGTTACAAGCTTTCCAAAGGATAACTTGATAATATGTCACAAAAGCCTTAAAAGAAATTCATACTTTTGACCCAGCAATTCCATTTCAAGGAATTTATCCAAGGAATTATTCATAGATGTGTGCAATAATATAGCTAAAAGGAGATTTATAACAGCATTGATTATAATAACTCCAAACTGTAAATAAATAACGAATAATAACTTATTATTTTAAAAACTTAAATAAAATCCTCTGATCAAAAACCTCCAATGGGGCTTCCCTGGTGGCGCAGTGGTTGAGACTCTGCCTGCCGAAGCAGGGGACATGGGTTCGTGCCCCGGTCCGGGAGGATCCCACATGCCGCGGAGCCGCTGGGCCCCGTGAGGCACGGCCGCTGAGCCTGCGCGTCTGGAGCCTGTGCTCCGCAACGGGAGAGGCCACAACAGTGAGAGGCCCGCGTACCGCAAAACAAAAAACCTCCAATGGCTTTGCAAGCCACTTGGAAAACAATCTAAAATCTTACCAAGTCCTATAAGGATTGGTTCTTGGCTCCCTCTCCAACCTCACTGAGGACAATTCTCCCTCATTCAACTCTTGCTCTTACTCAAGCATACCAAGGAGCTTCAGTTTCAAGACATCTGCACTTGCTGTCCCTCACCAGTCTGGAGCACTGGTCCCTTGGTCAGCTCTAGAGCCTACATTCTCACTTTTAGAGAGGACTTCCCATCAATCTACGTTCTCTTATATGCCTCGTTTTTCTTAAATCAATAATTATATTTTATTCCACGTTCACCATAAAATCCATATAAATGCTACAAAGATAGAGATGACATGTTAACCACATAGGAAGATAACATAAATTTGGAAAAATATATAAATTAGGAAAATATAAAATTAGAATTTAAAATTTCCTGGCCAGGCAGAAACTTGAGATAATTTTTAACAGTAAAATTTAATGGAAATAATTATCTATTTGGAATATATATGCCTTGTTTTTCTTCACTGCACTCATCACCACCTGATGTATTATTATGCAGTTATTTTCTAGTCTGTCTCCCTCCACTGTAATTTAAATTCAATGTGAACAAGGACTTTATTTTATATCCTGCTGTATCTCTAGTGCCTAGAACAGTGCCTGGCTAAAAGTAGGCATTCAGGAAATATATTGAATGAATTTGCTGAATGAATGAATGACATGGAAAAAATGATCTTTATATACTAAGTAAAAAAAAGAGATGCAAGACAATATATATGGTATGATTTCATTCTCTACATACCCACCAAAGAATAGGAAAAAAAGGCAAGAAAGATGTCAATCAAAATGTTAGCAGTGGTTTATAGGTAATTTTTATTTTTGCTTTTCTATTTTGTAAAGTTCCTGCAACAGACAAGTATTATTTGCATACTCAAGAAAAAGAGTGTATGTTTTTTTAAGTAATAAATAACAACCTACCAGTCCATTTAAGTTCTTTATGTTGTTTCTTCCTAAAGACAATATTCTCAAGTTTTCTGTAGAGGAAAGAAAACAATTTTGGTTTATTAGAATCATATTACACAATTGTTATAAATCTAATATAATAAAGTTTTAATACATTTATATAGGGACTTCTCTGGTGGTGCAGTGGTTAAGAATACGCCAGCCAACGCAGGGGACACGGGTTCAAGTCCTGGTCCAGGAAGATCCCACATGCCACAAAGCAACTAAGCCCATGTGCCACAACTACTGAGCCTGCACTCTAGAGACCTTAAGCCACAACTACTGAAGTCTTGTGCCTAGAGTTCGTGCTCCACAGCAAGAGAAGCCACCGCATTGAGAAGCCCACGCATTGCAGCGAAAAGTAGCCCCGCTCGCTGCAACTAGAGAAAACCTGTGTGCAGAAACAAAGACCCAATGCAGCCAAAAAGTTAAAAAAAAAATAATTTTTTAATTAAAAATACATTTATATAATAAATATTCTTATATAATAAAAAAGGCTGTATTAATAAAAAATGGTAATCAGGTAAGAAATAACATAGATATATCACTAAGGTAAACACTACAATTGCACATCATGTCAGTGTTAAATTTTAAATGGTTAGCTATTTGAAATGCATGGTTTTAATACTACAAGGATAAAATAAGAGTAAAGAAGAGTTGAACTTTAAATTTGGGAGCATATATATTTCAAACCTCTTATAATATGAGGACTTACACTAGAAAATAGAAAACATATTTGGTCCACCTTGCTCCATAAAGGATTAGAAGTGAAATCAAATGAATCAGTATTTTAAAAATCTTTTGCTTTCATTTTTTTAAATAATTAGATTGTGATTGGTTAAAAAATGTCTATTTTTATTTTTTAAAAGAATGTTTCTATTTTTATATCTATAGGCTATTTCTGGAAGAGAAAAGTAGAAACAGTGGTTGGTTTGGGGGAGGAACTGAGAGTCAGTCTATGGTCAGAGGAAGATATTTTTATTTATATTTATTTATTAAATATTTATTTATTTATTTATTTAATTTTGGCTGCAACGGGTCTTAGTTGCAGTATGCGGGATCTTCATTGCGGCATGAGGGATTTTTTTTTTTTTTTTTTTTTGCGGTTCGCAGGCCTCTCACTGTTGTGGCCTCTCCCGTTGCGGAGCACAGGCTCCGGACGCGCAGGCTCAGTGGCCATGGCTCACGGGCCCAGCCACTCCGCGGCACGTGGGATCCTCCTGGACCAGGGCACGAACCCGTGTACCCTGCCCAGCCGCTCCGCAGCATGTGGGATCCTCCCGGACCAGGGCACGAACCCATGTCCCCTGCATCAGGAGGCGGACTCTCAACCACTGAGCCACCAGGGAAGCCCATGAGGGATCTTTAGTTGAGGCATGTGGGCTTTTTAGTTGTGGCATGAAGACTCTTAGTTGCTGCATGCAAACTCTTAACTGCAGGATGCATACGGGATCTAGTTCCCTGACCAGGGATCGAATCCAGGCCCCCTGTATTGGGAGCGTGGAGTCTTACCCACTGGACCACCAGGGAAGTCCCTGGAGGAAGACATTTTTAACTGTACCCTCTTCTGAACTATGTGCATAAAACCATGTACATACATTATTTTTCAAAATTAAAATAAAAGATTTCTAGTAAAACACAGGAAACCTCACTTTTGTCCTAAAAATCTACTGTGATTACTTATGCATAAGTTATACATTTAATTTTCACAACTTAAACTTCTATAACTATGCTGTCCAGTATGGTAGTTACTAACCACATGTGGCTATTTAATTTAATTAAAATTAAATACGATAAAAAATTCAGTTTCTCTGTCACATTAATCACATTTCAAGAGCTTAATAGCTACATATGGCTAGTGGCAACTATATTGGTACAGTGCAGATAATTCTATTGGATGGCACTGTTCTATAACATCCATAAGTCAATGGTTAAGAGCACAAATCCATAACTGAGTTCCAATCCTAACTCTCTAGGGAAGTAACCAAACCTGTTAGAATCTCAGTTTTCTCATATGTAAAATGAGGAAGTATAGGATCTACCTTATAAGAGTATAAGGATTAAATGAGATAGTTGTCTAAAATATTCAGCACAAGGCCTAATCCATGGTAAGTACAAATAAATGATGTATGTGTGTGTGTGTATCAGGCATATATAGCGAGAGAGGAGTCAAGAAATTACCAAGGAGTTTGGCCTGAGCAACTAGAAGAATGCAGTTGTCACTATCTGAGACAGACACACAAGAAGTTGGATTAACTAGGGCTGGGGAAGGACATCAGGACTCAGTATTGGACATGTTAAGTATGAGATGTCCAGTAGACATCCAATGGAAATGTCGGGCAACTGAATGTGTGAATCTGGAGTTCAGAGATGTATGGACTAGAGATACAAATTTTGGAGCCATCAGCATGTAGATGGTAAAGCCATGATCTGGATGAGATAATCTAGGGAGAAGGTAAAGACAGAAAAGAGAAGAGATCCAAGAACTGAGTCCCCAGATACTCCAACATTTAAAATTTGAGGACATGAGACTGGGAAGAAGTAGCCAAAAAGGCAGGAGAAACTCAGAAGGGTACAGTGTCCTAGAAATCCAATATTGAAATTGCTTCAAAGAGAAAAGAAATCATCCATGTCAAAATACACTTAGGTCAACTAAGTTAAGAACTGATCCCAGAAATTAGAGATAACAGATATATACAAATCTTTTAAAGATAGTATCTAACTTAAATATATACAACTCCTTTTTTAAAAACTGCACATGAAAATGGCAATGAAAGTCTAAAGAGATCTTATTGCTGTATGGGGAAGTAAATTATGATATCAAACTTAATAGATTAACTCTTCTAACATTACAGAATTATGTATTTTCCATATTTTATATGTTGCATAAGTAGAGAGCACCACTAGAAGGAAAACACTGTTTTTTTCTTCTTAGGTCCTGACGAAATCAAAACAATATCTTAAAGTTTTAGTGAACTAAAGGAGTATACTTTTTTACCAAGAAACTTTACTTTCTAATCTTTAATATGAGAGTATTAGTATTCACATTGTACAGCTTTTTAGTCACAGTTTTGAACATAGTCATGTCATACAGTTTTCTAGTCACAGTTTTGAAACAATATATATTGCTGTTAGAGTTATTCTGCCTTATAACCCCACTGTTAAATAGGAATACCTACTTATTTCAGATCCTCTTATCACAGTGTAGTAGGTAAGACTATAGTGCTCATGAAAGGAAAGGGGTGGGAGGCAAGCTAGCGACATATATTCAATCTTTTGCATGAATCAGTTGGCTTCATAGTCACAGACAGTGTATTCTCTCCATAGACTGCAGAAATACCATTTGTTATAAGCAGAACTAAACTGAGATGCATCAAATATAGCAAATACATGGTACAAATGCCTATTCTCTCTCATTCCATGCCTACATCAGATATCAATAATTGATCAAGGTACTCTTTTCCACTGAATTTTTGGAACTCTTCTTCATATGACTTTCCTGAGAGTCACTACTAATTGACCAAAGAGAATATGAGTTCAAACCCATTACCAGCCTTATATAGGTTTTTCATATTTTCATTTTCATATTGTCACAGTCATGTTTTTATGAAAGAAAAGCATGTTATCCATACTGATAAATAATGTTATCAATTTAGTCTCCTTTAAGCAAGTTATTTCAAATACAAAGAATAGGGAATAAAATGAAACATAAATTGTTTAATGAGTCAGTGAAAAATGGAATAGACTGAATCATCTTATATACAACTCTAATAGTAAACACTTCCTGTCCAGCACTATATAAATACTGAGTGCAACTTTGAGTACAGTACTGGGGGGAATGGAGATTTGGAATAGAAGATAGATTAATAAGATGTGATGTTTGCCCTAAAGGAGCTCATTATCTGAAGAGACAGAACATATTCCTCACTAACTATAATAACAGCTAATATTTCTTGAGCATTTATATGCACTAGGCACTATTCTAAGAACTTTATACACACCACTCATTTAATCTTTACAATAACTATATGAAGTAAGTAATTATTATTATAATCTAAGGTAGACTGTTATAAATGTTCCCAAGAAAGAGTAGTTATTATGATGATGGAGATTAAAGAAGTCTTTAGGGGTCTCCCTCTAAATGACATTTAAACTTGGCATTCTTAATCTTAATCTTGTTTCTTGTTTCCTGCTAGAGGAAGGGGCTGTTCTCAATGAAAAGCACTGCACTATCAAGTGCACAAAGTCATAAAAAAAGAATTATATGTTTGGGTGTGAAGAGGATGTCACAAGCTTTTAGATGACCCTGAATGCAACCTTAAGGCATCTGGTCTTTACTAGGCAAAGGGGAGGCATTAAAGATCTCTGATCTGGAGGAATGATAATGAGAACAATATTTTTAAAAAGAAAACTCTGGTGTCAGTGCTGAAGGTCAATGGAAGAACAGAAAGATAGGAGACAAGGAGATCAATTGGGAGGCTATAACAGAAGTTGTAAGGCAGTGTTTTTTCAAACTGTGGGTCATGTGAAATCAACTTAGTGGGTTGACAAGCATTTAAAAAACAATGAAATCACGCTAAAAAAATTTATACTGGAACCTATGCTATAAGGGTAACTATTGTTTTACAAATTTTAATCCAGTTCATATGCATATGCTATATTTGATATGTGTATTCATACGAATATATATACACTGAGTCGTTAATTCAAAGGTATTTCTTACTGTGGGAAGTGGTAAAAAACATTTGAAAAATATGACCTAAGGGGGAGATGATGAGGGTCTAAATTAAAGCTGTAGCTCCTGGAAATGGAAAAGCAACAAATTATTTGAGAGCTCTTTCGAAGAATAGAGTTAACAGGACTTACTGATGAACTTGCATGTAGGGCTTGAGGGAAGTAAAGGGAAATATGATACACTAAATAATGGCTCACCAAAAGATACCTATATCCTAATCCCTGGAACCTGTGAATGTTACTATATATGCGGAAAAAGTACTTTGCAGATATGATTAAGTTAGGGATCTTAAGATGGGGAGAGTATCCTTGATTACCCAGGTGTTCCCTAAATGCAATCACATGTATCCTCATAAGAGGGTGACAGAGAAAGATATGACAGAGACAAAAGAGGAGAAGGCAATATGACGACAGAGGCAGATATTGGAGTGACACAGTCACAAGTCAAGGAATCTGGCAGCCATCAGAATCAAGAAAAGGTAAGGAAAAAATTCTCCCCTGAAGCCTCTAGAGAAGGTGTGGCCCTCTTGATTTTGGCCCAGTGAAACTGATTTCAGACTTCTGGCCTCTAGAACAGTGAGGGAATACATTTCTGCAGTTTTAAGCCACCAAGTTTCTGCAGCCACAGGCAACTAGCACAAGGAGCCTTGGCAACTGGGAAGATGTCGATGTCATTAACAAAGACAAGGAGCATAGGAAACACAGGGATGGTGAAGAATAAAATTTTAAATATAATAAGTATGAAACACAAGATAAATCTGAACAAAAAAATATAAAAAACCTCATTTTCTATTTAAGATATTTCAATTCTAACACTACAAAAACTTTATAATGTCTTTAAACTGTTCCGGTTTCATGTTATCTCTACTTTTCTTTGGATAATTAAATAAGACACATGGTTTATATATTCTTTCTGACATCCGACAATTACTGCGGTTAAAACAGGTGCCAGCTTCTAGGATTATGTAGTGCCTCTGGAATGTTTATTCCAAATAACTACAAAATCCAAGAACCATCTGTTACTGTGGATCACTTACTTAAGCCATTCAGGTTTGCAATTTTTTCAATGCAGTTTGTAGACAGTGAAAGCTTCCTAAAAAAAAAAAAAAAAAGGAACACTTGAATTAATAAGAAAAAAATGTTAATGGTATATCAGAAATTATTCCTCAAGTGTCCACAGAAGATGATATTTAAGTCACATTTCCTTTTACACTGAATCCTTTTTTCCCTCTCAGACATGACATGTATTCCTTCATTTTGAAATCTTCATACTTTTTCCCTGATTACAAAAGTTAATATACACTGTTGTATAAAATCAAAGAAACCTTTTTGAGGGTAATTTGGTGTTATCTATTAAATTTTTAAATGCATGTATTCTTTGACCCAGTAATTCATTTCTAGGAATATGTCCTATTGAAATACTAATACAAATGCCAAAAAATATATGAATTAGATTATTTACTGTATTATTGTAATAGCAAAAAAGTGGGAAAAAATTTATAAATACCCATCAGCTGAGGAATACAGATAATGAAATACTATCTGCCACTAAAGCAAACAATACTGGGCTATACATACCAACTTGGGAAAATGTCCATGATATGTGTATAACAAAAAGTTATGTAATCCTAACCACCCCACACATTCCCCCAGAGATAATGACTTTTAATAGTTCATATATATTTTTCTAGATTTTTTTCCTATACATACTTTAATTGTATAAAAACAAATTTTTAAAGGGAGCATAATTACACGTTATTAATCTTTCTTTCTTGACAAAAATGTTTAATGTCTTAGTAAATATCATGCAAAGAATATAACAAAGGCTAATTTTATTGAACGCTTTATGTGTGCCTAGTATTCTTCTAAGTATTTTACATGTATTAACTATTTTAACCATCAGAACAATCCTATGAAATAAGTATTATTATCCAAATTTTACAAATGAGGAAACTGAGGCACAAAGATGTTAAGCAATTTGCCTGATATTATACAACCAGAAAGTAGCACAGGCAAATTTAAGACGCCAAAAAACTGACTCTAGAACATATGATCTTATCCTTCTGATTTGACCTGAAGAGGAATTCTTCTTTTTTTTTTGCTTGAAACACTAAAAGCAATTACTATACACTGTAAATTACTGGTCAAATCTGTGTATTTTCTAGTCATTCCCCATTCTCAAGAACAACCAGTTAAAGTGAAAAATGGACTGGAAAATCTGGGACTACGGTTGGGGAATGTTTCTTTAATTGTTGTTTAGGCAACCTGCTCAAAGAGTGTCAGCAAAAATATGAACAGGGTGACTCTTTCTAAGCAGTTTCCAAGGTACTTTGGTTTGGGGTACAGAACCTTCTCAAATGCTTGCCTTTGAAATGGCTTTATGATAAAAAGATATTTGACCACTTTGGAATAATTCTCTTTGAAATCATGATTTTTGAAGCCAAAAACACATCTAAGGTGGGTTTTTATGTAATACATTGTGTTCTCATCACAAAGGAGAAGTTGCATACAATAACTAAATACGTTTGCTTTTCCCTTTAATTCCAAAGACAGATATTAGTCTAATGCATGAGTTCACAAATATGCATCTAAGAGTCATTCAGATTGCTTATTATAAATACAGATACCTAGTTTCATCAGTAGATTCTGTTTCTATAAATTTGGAGTGGGACAAGGAGATTCTTATATAGGTAGTCAGGGGACCACAGTTAGAAAAACACAGGATGAAGAAATCAGAAAAAACCCCAAGTGATTCTGTAACATTCTACACCCCTGACAAGACACTGCAGCCTGAGAGCACGGTTACAAGGTGTCATGGTATATAATTGCCTCAAATTAGCCACAGAACCCTGCTAAAAAGTGTGTATTTAGAAAATAAGTTAAAAGGAATAAATATAGATCTGATACTTAAAGCTTGGATAAATAGGATTACAAATAAATGTAACTTGATCCCAATTAGGAAAAAAAAATTAGAAGGCTCTATATCAGAATGCTGAGACTTCCCTGGCAGTCCAATGGCTAAGACTCTGCGCTTCCATTGCAGGGGGCAGGGGTGAGATCCCTGATCCCTGGTCAGGGAACTAAGATCCCACATGCCCTGCGGTGCGGCCAAAAAGTTAAAAAAATAATAAAATAAAATAAAAAACAAAATGCTAACACTGGTTCTCAAAAGGTGTGCAATTTTGGTTGATATTATTTCCCTTTCTTTGTGCTTTTAATATTTTCTAGTGTTTTTTTTTTAATTATTTTGTGTCCCTCATGACTTTTAAAGAGGGCTCTTTTTTTTTTTTTTTTTGGCTTCGTTGGGTCTTTGTTGTTGTTCGCGGACTTTCTCTAGTTGTGGTGAGTGGGGGCTACTCTTCATTGCGCTGTGCGGGCTTCTCATTGCAGTGGCTTCTCTTGTTGCGGAGCACAGGTTCTAGGCACGTGGGCTTCAGTAGTTGTGGCACGTGGGCTCAGTAGTTGTGGCTCGTGGGTTCTAGAGCACAGGCTCAGTAGTTGTGGCGCACGGGCTTAGTTGCTCCGCAGCATGTGGGATCTTCCCAGACCAGGGATCAAATCCGTGTCCCCTGCATTGGCAGGCAGATTCTTAACCACTGTGCCACCAGGGAAGCCCTTCTAGGTGCTTTACAATGTATTTTCATAGTTTGAAAAGTATTTTTTAAAGCAGTATCTCTATGCCTCTGAGTAAGTACAGTATTGACTTTGGTGGATAATCTTACAAGAGGAAGTACTAGATTTTATGATAGAGAAAGTTTAATTGTGTTATTTAGCTTCTCCTAAGAGACAAGGAAATTTCTATTCTCCAGGCATATTGTAAAAATTATACTGTAAAAAAATACAGGGGCTTCCCTGGTGGCGCAGTGGTTGAGAGTCTGCCTGCCGATGCAGGGGACACTGGTTCGTGCCCTGGTCTGGGAGGATCCCACAGGCTGCGGAGCAGCTGGGCCCGTGAGCCATGGCCGCTGAGCCTGCGCGTCCGGAGCCTGTGCTCTGCAACGGGAGAGGCCACAACAGTGAGAGGCCCGAGTACCGCAAAAAAAAAAATACAGTACAGGATTATTCAGGATTACTCTATTAATAATCCTAGAAACCAATAATCTTTTATGTTTGGCTTTGCCAAAGTGAGAATCAGAAAAAGAAAGAAAGAAGGGAGGGAGGGAGGGAGGGAGGAAAGAAGGAAGGAAGGAAGGAAGGGAAATGAAGATCAAGAAAATAAATATATTTTTCTAGTTTGTGTATTTAGAAAAGGAAGTGAAACTTAACAGCAATACTAGAAAGGATGAAAAAAGACAAGAGAACTTACTCGCAATTAACAAGCATGGACAAGGACGCATCCATCTTCTCTATAGGGGGAATCTGGGCATACAGCTTTATCTCTCTGGCTTCGGATGGCTTCTGACTGGTTTTCTCTTCCTATGTTAAAAATTAATTTGGAAGAGAATAATCCAAATGTGGAACTAAAAAAGGCCAAAATTTCTCAAGGCTTTTCAATGTTTATTTCAAAACAATTATTAAAATTCAATAATTCTGTACATTCCTGACAGTTTACTTATTGACAACATTTACTTACTGAACTTGATAACTAGCCTTATACATGGCTGACTCAGATAATTCACTGTTAGGTCTCAACCAAATGGAAAAGAGGAGGAAAGAAAATAACTTTTATTTCCGTAATTTAAAAAATCCTTTTAGAGCCTATCAATTAATAAACAAAACACAACAACAAAAACATTTTCCTGGGAAGAATTCCTTGTCCCTAAACAAACTTTTCCTAAGTGTCAGATTCAGACCTATAAGATCAACTCTTTCTGTCATCTCATCTTTCTGTTCCTACATACAATTTAGTCAGAGCTAGAACCACCAAATACCAAGAATTTGGGAAGATTTTCTCTTTATGACAGAGCTGAGGTCAAATTTATTTGCTCTACAATAATTTACTACTAAATTCTACCCTAGAGTTTAATTTCAGTACTAAGTATGCAGTTTAAATTTTAATTACCAGTATATGCTGCCTAATAATAGTTTCTAAGTACCTCAATACTTAGAGTTAGCTCTCTCTCTCCAACAAAACAAGAAGATCCTACAGCTCAGGGACCATTTTCTTGCTTTCCTATATTTTCTATAACCTGATATTAGACACAAAAGAAGCTTGTATTTAAAAAATCAAATCACAACACATCAATAACAGAAAATATATAATCAGTTGAAAGAGATCTAATACACATTCACTCAGTATTTTTTTTGTGCCATGTATTTATAGGTTAGGAGATGAGAGACTGACACCAAGTAGATCCTTAATAAATGTTGGGTTAATGAGTGCAAGAATGAGCATAATGTCTTCAAATAATCTTAAAGTCAAAGATTTATGGCCATAATGTAATCTAGAAATAGAACCTACAAACCAAACCAAAAAACCAACCACTTGTTATTATAAATAAATAAAATAAAATCCTAAAATCTGATTGAAGGAAATCAAATCTAATACTAAGCCTACTCCACACTTTTTTATTAAACAAAACAGATCTTTCACTAAGCAGAAAAAAATTTTTTAATGTAATTAGAGTACAAAGAAGTTTATAAGCACTAAAACAAAAATTCAAATATTTCATTATCCTACCCTTTTGTCTATTTTCCCTAGACACCAAGTTTCTTGAAAGAGTTTTTATTTAAAGCCCAGCTACAAAAGCAAAAGATACATTATTATACAAAAAAACAACTGATAACATAGTCAAATATGTTATCACTGGGCATAGCAATTGAGGAGCCATCTCTATACTCTATGGAAATTCTATCTATAATGCTGAAATACAACTGTTCAAACTTTATAGAATGTTATATGCAAAATATTTGTTTATATTTAATGCATTTTTTACAATGCAGTTTCCTAATATTACTATATGCTTTTAAAAATGTATTTTGTGTATGTATTATGTATTTTTTCCAGATATAATGATATATAGCACTGAATAAGTTTAATATATACAGCATAACAATTTGACTTACAAAATCATGAAATGATTACCACAATAAGTTTAGTGAACATCCATCATCTCATACAGATACAAAATAAAAGAAAAAGAAAAAAATTTTTCCTTGTGATGAGAACTCAGGATTTACTCTCTGAACTTTCATATATAACATACAGCAGTGTTAATTATATTAATCATGTTGTACATTACATCCCTAGTACTTATTTACCTTGTAACTGGAAGCCTGTACCTATTGACCATCTTCATCCAATTCCCCCTACCCCTACTCCTTGGCTCTGGTTACCACAAATCTGATGCCTTTTTCTATGAATTTGTTTGTTTGTTGAAATATAATTGACCTATAATACTATGTTAATTCCCAGTGTACAACATAGTGATTCAATATTTCTATACATTACAAAATGATCACTATTTTTTACAGATTTATTGAGATATAACTGACATATAACATTGTTTATGTTTAAGGTATACCATGGGATGCTTTGATACATATATACATTGCAAAATGATTACCAGAAAAAGGTTAGTTAACACATCCAGCACCTCATATAATAATTTTTTTGTGTGCTGAGAACATTTACGATCTACTCTCCAGACTTCCCTGGTGACACAGTGGTTAAGAATCTGCCTGTCAATGCAGGGGACATGGGTCCGAGCCCTGGTCCGGGAAGATCCCACATATCGTGGAGCAACTAAGCAACTAAGCCCGTGCGCCACAACTACTTAGCCTGTGCTCTAGAGCCCACAAGCCACAACTACTGAGCCCACATGCCACAACTACTGAAGCCCACGCGGCTAGAGCCCATGCTCCATAGCAAGAGAAGCCACCGCAATGAGAAACCAGCACACCACAATGAAGAGTAGCCCCCGCTGGCTGCAACTAGAAAAAGCTGGCGTGCAGCAACAAAGACCCGACTCAGCCAAAAATAAATAAATTTATTTTTTAAAAAAATCTACTCTCTTAGCAACTTTCAAGTACATAATACAGTATTATTAAATATGCTGTACATTAGATCCCCAGAACTTATTGATCTTATAACTGGAAGTTTATACCCTTTGACCAACTTCTCCCCATTTCCTCCACTCAACTCTGGCCATCACCATTCTAATCTTTTTTTATGAGTTCAGCTTTTTTAGATTCCACATGTAAGTGAGATCATACAGTATTTGTCTTTAGCTACCTGACTTATGTCATTTAGCATAACGCACTCAAGGTCCTTCCATGTCGCAAATGGCAGGATTTCCTTCTTTTTATGGCTGAATAATATTCCATTGTATACAAATACACATTTTCTTCATCCATTCATCCACTGATGGGCATTTAGGTTGTTTTCATGTCTTGGCTATTGTGAATAATGCTGCAATGAACATGGAGATACAGGTATCTCTTTGAGATAGTGATTTCATTTCCTTCAGATATATATGCAGAAGTGGGACTGCTGGATCACATGGTAGATCTACTTTTAATTTTTTTTTTTTTTTTTTTTGCGGTACGCGGGCCTCTCACTGTTGTGGCCTCTCCTGTTGCGGAGCACAGGCTCCAGACGCGCAGGCTCAGCGGCCATGGCTCACGAGCGTAGCCGCTCCGCGGCATGTGGGATCTTCCTGAACCGGGGCATGAACCCGTGTCCCCTGCATCGGCAGGCGGACTCTCAACCACTGCGCCACCAGGGAAGCCCGGTCAGATTTTTTTAATTGAAATTTTTATTGAGACACTTGAAAATTCATGTGCAGTTATAAAAAATAATACAGAGAGATCCCTTATACACTTTGCCCAGTTTCCCCCAATGGTAACATTTTTCAAAACTATAGTATAATATCACAACCAGGATATTGATATTGATGCAATCCACTGATTTTAATCAGATTTTCCCAATTTTATTTGTACTCACTTGTACATACGAGTGTGAATGTGTTTGCATGTGTGTATTAAGTTCTATACAATTTTATCACCTGTGTAGGCTCATGTATCCACTAACACCATCAAGATAGCTAAACAGTTCCAATACCACAAAGATCCCTTGTTTTGAATGGTCATATTTAAATAATTATCCAAAAATTCTCTTTATGTAGTTTCTAGAAGAAGTAAAAACTTATGAACTCACCCATCTGGCTAGGGCTTCTTTGATTGTTGTTGCTTTTGCCTTAAAAAGAGAAGAAAAAACAAAGCTGTCTTTATTGGTGTGATTTGTTGACTCAATTTTCATGCAATAATTATTAGCCCTGGCATCTACCGTTAAAAAGATTAACTTCTTTTTTTGAGACTTTATATGCAAAGAGAGTGTTTTAATTTCCTGAAATCAAAAATACTCATTTAAATATCTCTCAGAGAAATTAAGGAAATCGTGATGTAATGTAAGATACTTCACTCCCACTTGGTTTACAAAAAACATATAGCTTTCAACACTGATATTAAAATATATCTTATTTCATTGATTCTAAGATTTATATCTTCTTTTATATTTTAATATCTTTGAAATTTGGATACATCTTACAACCAGGAACAATTTATAATTGCTGCAGCCAGGTAGCACTGATGAAGTTTTAGAAAAATACTAACCATCTTGGACTTCCTTAGTAGTGCAGTGGTTAAGAATCCGCCTGCCAATGCAAGGGAAACGGGTTTGAGCCCTGGTCCGGGAAGATCCCACATGCCGCGGAGCAACTAAGCCTGTGTGCCACAACTACTGAGCCTGCGCTCTAAAACCTGTGAGCCACAACTACTGAAGCCCACGCACCTAGAGCCCGTGCTCCACAACAAGGGAGGCCACTGCAATGAGAAGCCCGCGTACCGCAATGAAGAGTAGTCCCTGCTCGCCGCAACTAGAAAGCCCACACACAGCAACGAAGACCCAACGCAGCCAAAAATAAATTAATTAATTAAGTTTTAAAAATTAACCTTCTTATTTAATATACATACTATATGCATTTTTATGTTTATCAAAGGATAACATCTGATAAAAATCTATATGCCTAAATACATTTAAAAATAACTGTCAGTAAGTACAAAATAAAAATTCTAAGTGATAGGAAATTATGCCATAGTTTAATTCTAACTTCTTATTTTTCTTTCTTAGTAGAACTAAAAATAATGTTGCACCTTATAATCAATAGTATCTTAGATTCAATTTATATGATATTAAAAATTTTAAAGGTAAGAAAAGGAAGACATTCTTTGACTCATTGCTGGAGCTCATTAAAAAAAAGAGAGAGCCTTAAACAATAACAAAAGGAATTATGTCTATGAAATAAAGATACACTAATAAATAACACTTGAGTTAAAAATAAAATTATAAATTTAAGTAAAATAATAAAATTAAAGACAAAGAATGTCAATATTTGAGGAATATAACAATTAAAAGCAAACTTATGCTTCAAATACATTAATTTAAAAATGAGAGGGACTTCCCTGGTGGCGCAGTGGTTAAGAATCCACGTGCCAATGCAGGGGACACGAGTTCGAGCCCTGGTCCAGGAAGATCCCACATGCCATGGAGCAACTGAGCCCATGCTCCACAACTACTGAGCCTGTGCTCTAGAGCCCGCGGGCCACAACTACTGAAGCCTGCGTGCCTAGAGCCCATGCTCCGCAACAAGAGAAGCCACCGCAATAAGAAGTCTGTGCAGCACAACAAAGAGTAGCCCCTACTCGCTGCAACTAGAGAAAGCCTGCACACAGCAATGAAGACCCAACGCAGCCAAAAATAAATAAATAAAATAAAATAAAAATAAGAACAGGGAACTATATTCAATACCCTGTGATAACCCATAATGGAAAAGAATATGAAAAAGAATGTATATATATATACACACACATATATATAACTGAATCACTTTGCTGTATGGCAGAAGTAAACACAACATTGTAAATCAACTGTACTTGAATAAAATAAATTTTAAAAATATAAGAGAAAAAATATATATAAGAGAGAACAAGAGATGGAAAACAAATAAGTTAAGCATTCAAAATGTTTGAAAAGGTACATCATGAAGGCAGAAGGAGATACAAAGGAAGAAATCAATGAAAAACAGAATGAGAGGAAAAAAGATTAACAAAACTAAAAGTGGGTTCTGAAGTCTCGGGCAAGCTCAACTGAGCTAAAAAGAGAGATATACAAATTTAAAATATAGAATAAATAAGGGGAAGTAACACAGATATCACAGAGATTTTATTTATTTATTTATTTTTGACTGCATTGGGTCTTAATTGCTGCACGCGGGTTTTCTCTAGTTGTGGCGAGCGGGGGCTACACACCATTGCAGTGTGCGGGCTTCTCATTGTGGTGGCTTCTCTTGTTGTGGAGCATGGGCTCTAGGCACGCGGGCTTCAGTAGTTGTGGCATGTGGGCTCAATAGTTGTGGCTCGCGGGCTCTAGAGCACAGGCTCAGTAGTTGTGGCGCACAGGCTTAGTTGCTTCGCAGCATGTGGGATCTTCTCAGACCAGGGCTCAAACCTGGGTCCCCTGCATTGGCAGGCAGATTCTTAACCCCTGTGCCACCAAGGAAGTTCCATCACAGAGATTTTAAGAATAAAATATTATAAGCAAATATATGGTAATAAGTTTGAAAACCTAGACAAAGTATGCATTTCTAGAAAAAACAAAAGTGCCAAAACTCACAAGAAGAATCAGAAAATTTGAATAGACTAATTACTATTTAAAACACTAAAAAGATAATCAGGGCTTCCCTGGTGGCGCAGTGGTTGAGAGTCCTCCTGCCAATGCAGGGGACATGGGTTTGTGCCCTGGTCCGGGAAGATCCCACATGCCGCAGAGTGGCTGGGCCCGTGAGCCATGGCCACTGAGCCTGCATGTCCGGAGCCTGTGCTCCGCAACGGGAGAGGCCACAACAGTGAGAGGCCTGCATACCGCAAAAAAAAAAAAAAAAAAGATAATCAGAGATTTACCCTCACCTTCCTCCCCTAATACCCCAAGCCTAGATAAATTACAAGTTCTACCAAGCTTTCAGGGAACAGATATTCCTTGTTATACAAGGTGTTTCAGAAATCAGAAAAAAGAGGGAAAGTTTCCAACTTATTTTACGAGGCCAGAATAACCTTGATGCCATAACCAGATAAGGAGCCCTCTTTACTTTTCAAAACAGATTTGAAAATCCTAGATACAACATTAGATCTCCAAAGCCAATGGTGTATAATGATCATGATCAAAAATGGCTTATGCCAGGATCATAAGGATTGTTTAACAACAGAAAAGTCTATAAATATAAATCATTTATTAATGGATTAAAGGGGGAAAATCACATTTATTTCAGTAAGTGCAGAAAGAGCAGTTGATAAAGTTCTACAGCTGATATTAAAAGCTCTCAACTAAGGGTTAAAGTGAAATTTCTTACTTGGTAAAAGCTACACATCAAAAAGCTTCAACAGGGGCTTCCCTGGTGGTGCGGTGGTTGGGAGTCCGCCTGCCAATGCAGGGGACATGGGTTTGAACCCTGGTCCGGGAAGATCCTACATGCCGCAGAGCAACTAAGCCCGTGTGCCACAACTACCGAACCTGCGCTCTAGAGCCTGCGAGCCACAACTACTGAGCCCATGAGCCACAACTACTGAAGCCTGCGTGCTTAGAGCCTGTGCTCCACAACAAGAGAAGCCACCGCAATGAGAAGCCTGCGCACCTCAACGAAGAGTAGCCCCTGCTCACTGCAACTAGAGAAAGCCCGCGCGCAGCAATGAAGACCCAATGCAGCCAAAAATAAATAAATAAAATAAATTAATTAAAAAAATTTAAAAAGCTTCAACAAACACCACAGTTAAGGGAGCAATTCATTCATTTCAGCAAATATTTATTGATTACCTCCTATGTACCAAACGTTCTTTCACTTGCTGAGGATATATCAGTGAACAAAACAAAGATCCCTGCCTTCATGGAATTTACATCTACTGGCAGGAGACAGATGGTAAATAATATAATAAATAAATAGATATAAATCATATAGTATATTAGAAGGTGACAATTACTAAGGAAAAAGAAAAAGCTGAGCTTGGTAAAGAGTATCAGGATGTGTGTATATGTGTATGGAGGGTTTATTTTAAAAAACGTGGTCAACGTGGGCCAAACTGGGAATGTAACATGAAAAGCATTCTCAAACTCCTAGAAGAGAACATAGGCAAAACATTCTCTGACATGAATTATAGCAATGTTTTCTTAGGTCAGTCTCCCAAGGCAATAGAAATGAAAGCAAAAATAAACAAAAGGAACCTAATCAAACTTAAAAGCTTTGCACAGCAAAGGAAACCATAAATAAAATGAAAAGACAATCTATGGGCT